AGTTGATCTATGTCATATAAATACAAATTTAGTCAATGGGCCATAATCACACCGATGGACCTTAATCGTGTCGCCAGCCGATTTTACGGGTTCAAGACCACAACTCGTGATCCCTCTCGTTGGGTTAGCAAACAATCCCACATAAACTACTGGTGAGTTGACTCGGCCCATGGCTCAGCGGATAACCAGCTTACAGGGTTGACCCTGGTTGACGGGCCATCTCAGTTAGTAGCACAAAAGTTTTTATTTTCCATTTAGTTTTGTAGAAAAAGTATGGTGGGGCGAGGTTCAAGTCCGAGCTGCATGGAAGACCATTGAGGAGAATTAATAGATTGAAAATGTGGATATGGTTAATGAACTTTGTGCCCACTTTGGTCTTCCAACCATTCAACGAATATGAAAAAATACTAAAACATATGTCATGCTCCCCCCCCCCCCCCCCCCCCCCCCCCNCCAATGATCCACCATTCATCCCAAGTCAATGTTTATTCCCCCCCCCCCCCCCCTTCTCTCTCTCTCTCTAATAGTGTGTTTGATATGGTAAAAAAATGGGTGAAAGAAAAGTGAGGGAGGGAAAATGAAGGGAAAAAAATGATTTTCATTGTTTAGTACCAATGAAAAGTATGATAGAGTGGAAAGTGAGCGAGAATCTCTATCTTTCTAGTCCACCAAATATTTTTAACTCAAATTTGGGCAAAAATTAGAGAAAAAAAGTGAAGGCAATGCAATAATTTTTTAAGTTAAATTTTTTACTATTTACTTATTGGAGTGAAAAAAACATATCTAATAGTAGAATTGTAAATTGGGTATATATATATTTTCTTTCCTTTCATTTTTCATCTAATACTAAACAATAGAAAATATATTCTTCTTACTTTTTATCTCTTCTACCAAATAAAAAAGAAGAAAAATAACTTTTTTTCTTTCAAGGATAAAAACCTTTATTCTTTCCATTTTCCTTTCCTTCCTTCCTTCTTTTTATCTTTTGTACCAAACAGATGATAAAGGTTGTATGAAAATACTTTTTCTTTTCCAGTCTAAAAATTATATTTTGACTTCCTGAATATTCTACTTTAATACTCTTCTCAGCTTCAGTGTCTACCTCAGTTGTTTGCAATGGAAGGGACTATGAACGTCCGTCCCATGAATCGTCAGTAAATCATGCATTTCANAACAAATGGGTGACAGAAAAGTGAGGGAGGGAAAATGAAAGGGAAAAAAAAGATTTTCATTGTTTAGTACCAATGAAAAGTATGATAGAGTGGAAAGTGAGAGAGAATCTCTATCATTCTAGTCCACCAAATATTTTTAACTCAAATTTGGGCAAAAACCAGAGAAAAAAAGTGAAGGCAATGCAATAATTTTTTAAGTTAACTTTTTTACTATTTACTTATTGGAGTGAAAAAACATATCTAATGGTAGAATTGTAAATTGGGTATATATATTTTTTCTTTCCTTTAATTTTTCATCTAATACCAAACAATAGAAAATATATCCTTCTTACTTTTTATGTCTTCTACCAAATAAAAAAGAAGAAAAATAACTTTTTTTCTTTCAAGGATAAAAACCTTTATTTTTTCCATTTTTCTTTCCTTCCTTCCTTCTTTTCATCTTTTGTACCAAACAGATGATAAAGGTTGTATGAAAATACTTTTTCTTTTCCAGTCTAAAAATTATATTTTGACTTCCTGAATATTCTACTTTAATACTCTTCTCAGCTTCAGTGTCTACCTCAGTTGTTTGCAATGGAAGGGACTATGAACGTCCGTCCCATGAATCGTCAGTAAATCATGCATTTCACCTCGGATTCAAAATTCTCCATGGAAGTATTTGTGATTTCCTTACATTTCATTTCGAATTAATTTTCACTAAATAAATCAAGGATAACTTCATTTTTATAGAGACAATTCAATTGGCACATTGCGTGTTCAAATTTTTAAATCAACTATTTTGAATTAATATTGAAATTGTCTATCAATTATCTTTATGATAGAACGCAACATACACAAGAGTCTTATCTTAAAAGACCTTTTCACCATATGAAAAAAAAAATTAAAAAGAAATTGGAAAAATTGGGAACCTAAAAAAGTAAATAATTGCATGAAATACAAAAAAAAAATAAATTGAAATCCAAAAAAAAACACATTTAGGCTAAATTAGTAATGTATGACGTGCGTTACACGTAAATAAATTTAAATAATATTTTTTTATAAGCGTGAATTATATGTGTAATTAAATTAAATAATAAATTAGGTATAATTGATCTCTATTTTAATTATTACTTTATTCTATAAGGCTTTGAGTACTTAATATGCCATTTATTTATGAATCTTTTTTTGTTGTATTAAATAGATTGATTAAATCGCTTATATTATTATTATATTATTTCATATCAAAAAATAAAAATATCATATATTTGAGAGTAGAATTCAATCTGATAACTCCTTGTGTATAATAATTTAACATATATAAGAATTTTACTTTATATAGATATATAAAATTGTATATAA